GGTGTAACTTTTTATTAATAAAGGGGTTAAGGTTTAAGCAACTAAAAATCAAATACAATGAAATACTGCTGATCATTGATTCTTAAATCAGTTTTGAAAATCAGATGTCTAAAGCTTATTGATCACAAGATTGCAGAATAATATTCGCGCGATATTTACACAAAGTAACATTGAATTAACTAGTTCTGTTAAATACATAATGAAAGCAACAGCTGGTATCGTTTCATCAGCCGGGCGGCCTTTGGCGAGCTTTGATAACTCCTTATCAAGTACTTGCTGATGTTATCAGAAGGAAATAACTGATGGATACATATATCATAAATGTGGAGAAACATAGAATAGTATGAGTAGTGTAAAGGCCTTGATATTTTTTTAACAATATTCACTAATTAGACACAAATTATCTTTGTAGCTTGTGCTATAGCGACTTCAATGAACCGCAAAGAAAAGGAAGAAAAACTAAATTAATTCAAGTTTTTTATGTATACTCGTATCTATAAAAAAGTGAAAGGCCACTGACTCATTCATTACGAAATCTCAGAAACTGCAAGTACTAGGAGTCTAAAATTTTTCATGGGGTTTCCTTTTAGAACGTAGGTGCTCACTCACTATGACTATGACGGGATTTTGCAAAATTCAAACCTTAAGGGGGTAAAACGGAATCCACGCGTACGAAGTCGCGGGCGGCCGCTAGTTTTGAATAAATGTCAAATAAAAAAATATGAGTAGTTTTTTCAGTATGTTTTGTTTCATAAGGTAGGTCAGGTACTTTAAAGATATTGAAGATTTTGTAACAGACCCTTTTTCATTGCGGTCCAGTGTATTTATTTGACAGCCTGTAACGAACATATAAAAATGTCGCATAGCACCGCTAACACACCTTTCTTTACCCTCTTTTCTGCAGTCGGTTTACTAAGCAAATCCAACTCAATTAATCCTGTTATTCTTAATTCACTATCAGTATGCCAACAATGGCATAACTGTCATTTTATAGCCCACACATACGAATTGTGCATTACGATCCATACAAATTGAATGCCAATCACTTATGGCTCTTAAATAATTGCTAAGGGGCCGACTGTCACACCGTAGTGTAGCAACGAACGTATATTATCATTAGGACATTTATGCCCGTTTTCACTATCAATTCCTAATTTTTAAGTGACCCCTTTAAAAACTGTTATGTGTTACTATAGGGGTCACTTAAAAATTAGGGTTTGATTGTGAAAACGCGCATTAGTCTCCACAATTATTTACACTCTACAGTAGGGCGAACCTTAACTTTCAACTCCTCCTATGTTCTTCTGATTAATTTCGTTGCGGGTCCAATGACAGTTTAACTTTCCCCCGGGACAAACTTGACCTTCATAACCGCCACTCGTTCGGTTTATATTGGCGGTCAAGCTGTAGATCCTGGCTACACAGGAGTTGCAGTGGTGGGAACGAGAGGTGGGAACAGTCCCGTGCAGGAGCACGACCCTCTAATATACCAGAGGCAAATGGAGGATTTGGCCTACACTCCCCACGCTGGCCAGGCGGGATGGGGACGCCTGATGTTCGCATATTTGTCCTTTAGTTGTTTCTTACGACACCCACGGAAAGGAGGCAAATTCGTATTTACCTCGTTATTTTTGTCACTAGTGGCTGTAACATGATAGGTATTGGTTTAGGTGAATGCGGTCACAGTCACTGCCCAAAGGTGTCGATATCGTACATACATTGTTGCTCTGTGTGTCACGCTTTACAAGTTATTTATTTATTTAAAACATATGCACATAAATCACGGTACATTAGGCGAACTTAATGCTATTCGGCATTCTCATCCAGCCAACCTTAAGGCCAAACTGAGAATAGAGACATTTCCTTTTAAATACAGACATTGTTAACATTCATGTTTTCTTTTATTTCATTGACTATCTGACGGTACAAAATCTCATTATGTTAAAGAATAAATTAAATTGGACGAATCCAGAACGAAAAAACTATTTTTTTTTATTCAGTGTTTCGTCCCAGTGGTACGAACCTGTTGTGGGACGAATCACTGAAAACCTATCGACAGCAACAAGATACGCATCGGTGTGATTATACAGACGGTAAAACTCTAGTAGGTAATAAGGTATCTTTGTATAGTTGGAATAGGTGCTAATTTGCGACAAAAGTTCTAATGTACTCAATGTTTTATAAATCATTGACTGTACTAGAGGGCGCTACGATCGCGTCAAATGTTGCGCTTGCGTCGAGACACTTCTTTTTTGCGCGTCAAAAGCTTCCTGCTCCACCCAACGGATCAGATTTGTATGTGAACATAGATATTGACTCTATTAGATATGACAATCAAATTATTTTTAAGTCTATACTTAATTGAGTGAAGACAGAACTGACAGCCGGTCGGGCAGCAAGGTTCTGGAGTGGAGGCCGCATAAAATGCAGCGTGTGACGTCTACCCACTAGGTGAACCGACATTGCAAAGGTAGCGGGAAGGCGCTGGACGCAGGCCGCTACCAACCGGGCAGCATGGAAAGCATTGGGGAGGCCTATGTTCAGCAGTGGACGTCCATGGCCGAAATGATGATGATGAGTGAGGACATTAAAGTATTGGGACTCCACGAACAAGACGTTCAAGATAGAATCAAATGGCGGCGCATGATTGGGAAAGCCGACTCCGCATAACTAGATCTTACCCAATCAATCATTCCCATAGGAAGAAGTTTATAACCGAGTCAGTGCCTGGGGTATGGGACCGGCACGGGAAGGTATTATTGTGACGTCAAACGTCACAGGACTATTCCCACCTCTCGATCCCACCACTGCAACTCCTGTGTAGCCAGGATCTACAGCTTGACCGCCACCAAAACCCAACCAATGAAGGTCAAGTTTGTCCCGGGGGAAAGTTAAACTGTCATTGGACCCGCAACGAAATTAGTCAGAAGAACATAGGAGGAGTTAAAAACGTCAAACGTTAGTGAGATGTCCAGTTGTTTAGGTTTAATAATAAAAGTCAAGAAAAATCCTAATATTTTCGTGTTATATCAAATCAACAAAGTTAAAAGATGTTCAGTTTGAAGTTAGGTATAAAAATACCTAAACAACTGATATTTTGAGAATTTGCGAATTTGGCAGATTGCGACCGCTTGACAATTTGCGAATTTGACAATTTGCACATAAAGGACTTATACACGCATCTGGTATAGTAGTCCAGTAAGCGAACCACTACTTCATACCGAGGATAGACTTCTGGCATAGGCCAGTACTCAAACCGCGACTTCAGACCGAGTATTATTATTTATACTCGTAGTTATATTAATTGCATTTCATTATCGACCTAAATGGGCAGCTAGCACCATTGACTTATAATTTGCAACTGATTTAAAACAGCACTTAATATTAGGCTAGAAAACCCAATTAGTTAAAGATTAGAGTTTTAATTTAAAATCAGCAAATAGTATATTGATTAAGTTAGCGATTTTAGAATTCGGTTTTTAATTCAAAATCAACAAATAAATGTAATTTGGTCAGTCGTATTTCCCATTTGCCCCAAAAGGACAAAATTTCCAAAAAAACTTCCAGCGATCATCATCGTCATTTCAGCCACAGGACGTCCACTGCTGAACATAGGGCCCATGACTCCAAGATTAACTGGATACTCGCATCGATATAACTTTTCATTTTATGTCAAACAACTGTATGAGCCCTGTATAATTGTCTAGAAGAGACTGCTTTCCAGTGATAAGACTGCCTAAATTCTGCCGTTATAATTTTGTATTTATTAATCAGTTTTGATTAGTGTGCAATTAAAATAATCGTTCTATCGTTCAGCCAAATGTCGTCCACTGCTGGACAAAGCCTTCCCCAGTTAAAGAATTAAATTAAATCATAGAATTCTTATTTATTATTTGCTAGATCGTTCTGGAAAAATGAATTTAGAACTATTAAATATTTCACAGCTACAAGTTATAATTTAAAACCATTTATTGTTTCTGTCAATACTAATGCTCAAACAAAAATATAGTAAACAAACTGTCAATAAACAAGTAATTTTGTTGTAATTGCAGCTTATTTTGTCAATGAGATGCGGATTTAGTTCAATATTATTTGAACATAGACTGAAGATGTTTAGACAGGCCATTGTAAAATTGAAGAACCAAATTACTACTAATATTATAAAATCAGCTAAGTGATTAGCACTTGAAAGGTGCCACGATATTTACACTATTGTTAAAGATAGATTTTTTTAAATTAAAATCGATTTATATCGACAGTACCACGTTACCAAGAAACTAATGATTTGCCCGGAATGAAAAGAATATCAAGAATGGAGTCATTCTGTAACAGAATTATTTGAGATCACTAAAAATAAACATAAATAATAAATTAATTATTAATCAAAATCATCCTAGCCATTTATGTGTAGACAATATGACAATTAATTTCGTTAGGTCACCTAAAAAAAAATAATATTTGGTCGAATCGATCAATTAATGAATCATCATCATCATCATCATTTCAGCCACAGGACGTCCACTGCTGAACATAGGCCTCCCCCAATGCTTTCCATGTTGATCGATTGGTAGCGGCCTGCGTCCAGCGCTTCCCTGCTACCTTTACGATGTCGTCGGTCCACCTTGTAGGTGGACAATTAATGAATACATTCATAAATTTAACGTTTTGTAAGGTTATTACATTGTCTAGTCCAATTCCTTTAAATATCCCTAAATCTATTCACAGTAACAGGTCATTTAATTTACGAAAACATAGTAATCAGGTCATTTAAGTCTAGACTGCAGGATCACGACCCTCTAATTCACCATCGGCCTCTCCATTTGTCTACACTCCCAAAAAACCACCAATTTACCTGTCCGCAGTCAAAATCCATCTGAAAATACAACAAATATTCATCTCCACATTCAATCTTAATCTAGTTAAAAAAAGAGGTCTAAAAAGCCACCCCTCACTTTCCTTGGCGACGCGGAAGACGTAGCAAGGAGAGCCTCTACGCGATCACACCTCTATGGTCTATCCAATCCTTCCAGTATAAAAGAGGTAACGCAACCAACAACAGCATTCAGTAGCTATCGAGCAGTCAAACGAAGTGCACGATGAGATTTCTGGTACGAAACCTTTTTTGTTTTTTGTGACAACAAAACGCAAGTGTGAAAAAGAAAAAGAAAAAATCTCCCGCGGTTTTTGAGCTGTCAAAATTTGCGCGCCGAAATAGCGCACCGCGCTTTTCACTGTCAAAGTTCAATTTCGAATGAAATTAGAAGCGTGATCAAAGAGTTCCTCACAGTGTTATTAAAACCTTTTTTTGTTATTTTACTCAACAAAGTTTTCGAGCTGTCAAAATTTGCGCGCCAAAGATAAGCGTCCCGCGCTTTTAACTGTCAAAGTTGAATTTAGAATTAATATAAATTAGAGACGTGATTAAAGAGTTTTTACAGTGTTATTAAACCGTTTTGGATATTAAAAAAAGGTTCAAGACTGTTTTTAATTATTGGTTCAAGTGTCTTGATATAATAAACAAGAATGTCAACACTCAGTAAAAGTCAACGAGTTAAATAAACTAACCAAGGGAGACTTGTCCATAATTACCTTAAAAGTCAAAATAATCATTGCATTTTGTTGTCACCGCTTCACATTTTACAATAAACTGTATTTCGCTTAATTTTCATATATGGAAAATAATGTAACTTTAAGTTAGTAACATAAACTTTATGTATGCTGATTTTTCAATCGTCAGATATCTTTTAACTGAAGAATGAACTTGTCATTTTAATATAACTAATAATGTGCCAAACTGATTGTTTAGTTAAAAGTTATAAACGATTGAAAAAGCAGTCATTCGTCGTTTGATATTTAATAATGATCCAATTTAGGTCTTAAATCTTGTTAGATGTACAGTCACGAGCACAATTTGTTACCAAATATCTATATTGCAAAATGACACCTAGCTGTGCAGGTTCTATTCATTGTATTTTTATTTATTTAAGTCTTAATATCCCACGACAAGAATAAAGCATCCAAACATTTGACACTGTTCCAATTCCAACTATAACTCTTTGTGTTAGACTTCAAAATCGATTAGATCAAAGCAGTACTTAAAATCAATGCCAATCTGTCAACCGATCAATCATATGTCAAACAAGGTACATAAGGCGTGGCATCATGTTTGTAGGTGCGAATACCTTCATACATTTATGCATTAATATTAAATAACATTGTTCGCATTACAATAACAATCTTGACACATTTAATTGAAGGGCCTGTGAAGAAATATGAATGACATAGGTGACTGAGTTTCTTCCGCCACTTCTTCTCAGCACCAGCCCATGTTGTCCCGAAGTGGTGGTAGGGCGAGCTATATTTGGGACATGTATAAGTGCCCTGGAAAGGGCCTATGTACTGAGTAAACTGTTTGAATTTAAACCGGCAGACAGTGGTGACTGAGTTTGTTGCGGCGCTTCTTCTCAGCACTTGCCAAATGTTTGTCTCGAAGCGCTGGTAGGGCAAAAAAAGAATGAGACATGTATAGGCTCCTTAAGAGCATTTGACGATTTGCAAGAACTAATTTAATTAGTCTAAACAAATAAAGATAATTTTGATTTTGATTTTTGAATTTGAATAACCTTCCTAGATTAAATAATGTTAATCAACATTGTATTTGCCTTTGCCCATATAATAAAAAAAACTCTATTCTAAATTCAAAATTGGTCATTGCTTAAAAAAAAATCCCAAAGCTGTAACGCATTTAAAAATAACCCTAAAGCTGTACACAATTTACTCCTTTGCCGAAAAAAAACTATCACTGCAACGTACGTACGCGTTACATAACCAGATAAAAACATAAACAAAACATTTATCCAAAACAAATTCGTTCTTATCACGAATGAAATAAAGCTCACAACCGGATTTCTCAATCAAAAAATTCGACCAGTTACCAAGAGCTGTCAAAATTATCGTTCCAAAAATAGAGTTGAATCTTAATGTCAACTTTATAACAATGCAATAAGACCCATTGTGCTCTATATTAGGTCTGAAGTCCGAAGGTCTGCCATATACGGTCATGTTTCGCGATGCGTTTTGAATATTAACACTAGGTCAAGGCTGCATGTCTAAACTAATATTATAAAGAGGAAAGATATGATTGTTTGTTTGTAATAGGCTCCGAAACTGCTGGACCGATTTGAAAAAATCTTTCACCATTAGAATCCTTAATTTCTGATGATAGCTACGAAGTTTTTCAAGAAAATTATTGTAAGTATATGGGGTACTACGTTCATTTACCTCTATTATTACCAAGGCTAATATTGAATTGGCAGACAGGCATTTAGTCACGTCTAAAGAACAATACGAGTAATTTATTCTAACTAATTAGCTAGCCAAGCAACCGTATAAGAAATGTAAAGAAAAGTGACAAATAGGTATTTTGTAAACTTAACGATGTTCGCTCTGAAAATAGTTTTAATGGTTTGAAGTCTGTGTGAAGTGTGACGAAATACAATACGAATAACAAAGGTTCCAATATTGAGCCCTGAGGGACCCCCATAAGTAAAAGTAGGTTGTGAAATATCTACTATATAAAAATAAGTCGGGTTTTCCTCCCTGACGCTATAACTCCAGAACGCACGAACCGATTTCCACGGTTTTGCATTCGTTGGAAAGGTCTCGGGCTCCGTGAGGTTTATAGCAAAGAAAATTAAGGAAAATTTAAAGGGGATATAAAACGGGATCCACGCGTACGAAGTCGCAGGCGGCCGCTAGTGTATTATAATTTTGTGTCGTCTATTAGTACAGTACAATATACATTATATTCCATAGTTTCACGGTCATGGTCTGCAGCCTTCATTCAAATTGTCAATATGTGGAAAAAAAATTACAATACTTCAAGCTTTTTGCAATGCAACCTTCAAAAGGTAGACGCCTATTCTAATTGATTTACAATAAAAAATGAGGCTGATACGTTTTTTTGTCACTGACATATTAAATATTGAATCGAATACAAGTTGTCAAGTCATGATTGTAATCTTATGATGACAAACACAACTTAAAGTTCCGGTTTATAACAAATAGCTTTGATTTCATTATCAAATGCCTATGCTAAAACTATTTACAAAAAATCATTTTTTCATCATCATCAGGTCATTTAGTCTCCACTGCAGGAGTACGACCCTTTGTAATTTACCAGAGGCAAATGGAGGATTTTTCCTACACTCCTCACGCTGGCCAGACGGGTTGGAGAGTCCCAAAATGTTACTTCCAATGTTTTTCTTTTCATACTACTGTTTTAAATTTCAAATAGACCGTGGTAACGTTAATAAATGTTAATAAATTAGTCGTTGTCGTAACGCTATTGAAAAAAATTGAAGCATTCGAAAAAAAAGCGATATAATCGATGCTAGCGTTTTTTGGAATATTAGGGTTTCGGGATTAAATACTTACGACTGATAAGATATTTTCGTAAATAGACATTGTAAAAAATCACAGGACCATTTTTATTAGTTGGCACCAGTGCTCGTACAACAAACACAGTATTTTAGGGAAGAAATTGTTAAATACTTTTCTTTCTTTTTTGGCTCAATAGGGTGTTCAGTTCAGAATACACCATAACTTTTTAGCTCAATGGGGTTTTTTGAAACAATAACAATCACTTATTGCCAGTGGAATCTCTGATCTAGTCAGTTATTTAAAAATCCTACAGAACCCAAAAACTGCACCGTCTATGCATTATGCAAACACGTCAAATTAAAATTTGTAATTAGTAATAGAACACTGCAGACGGCTAAAACACTTACATTACATGGTCTACCGAACAGTGTAAGGAAGCAACGCAACAATGTATATTTCATACATACATTTGCCTTGTGGAATGCAAATCTATTAATGAAGGAACTGACTCTAGTGTTACACATTGTTTTGTTTAACAATATTTATAACAGAGATAACGTTATTTAATAATTTATTGTTCAATTCAAGGCTCGACTACTTTTCAAAGTATCTTTTGAAAATAAATTGTCTATAGTCTCAAGTTGTACATTGTAGATTACGGAACTATTCCCACCTCGTTGCCACCGCTGCAACTCCTGTGTAGCCAGGATCTACAGCTTAACCACCAATAAAAACCCAACCAGTGAAGGTAGATCACTGATTTTTTAACCTACTGGAGCTGCAAACTCAATCGCCCATCAAAATATGTCATGCCCACAAAAATTTAAAATAAGTAACAATATTAGGTACATTATTGACTCAGGAGCAGTTTTTGAACCAGCACATTCTTGTCGTTAGGTAATAGAAGTTAAATAAGTGGCCGAATATTTGATAATAGCCCCAAATTAAAAACAATTTTGTAGACATTACATCAAATACCAAACTAACTACACTAAGTGCAATTGGATTTTTTACAGGCCGTATTATCCAGCTTATCCGTCCATGATATTTCGTCGCAAACGTTGAGCAATATCTAATACTAGGGGCTGTATTGTACAACCACACTGAAGTTACTTTATTTTAGACTAGCTATGCCCGTGACTTCGTACGCGTGAAAATAATTTGAATAATAGTTCCCGTTTTTGCAACATTTTTCTTTACTGCTCCGCTCCTAATGGCTGTAGGGTGATGTAATAAAGGCTAAAGCCTTCTTCAATATGTGCTATCTAACACTGAAATATTTTTTCAAATCGGATCGGTAGTTTCTGAGATTAGCGCTTTCAAACAAACTCTTCAGCTTTAAAATATTGGTATAGATAACCGATTTTGCAGTAGTTGAGTACCCAGCTACTGTGTCAGTGCAGATGTCACAGGTTTGATTCCCGCAAAATACACTTTTGTATTTTATATCGGTTTGTATTGCTCTAGATGATTTTATATGCATAACTTAGTTATCAAGCAAAAATATAAGTTAATACATTGGATTTAACTTTATTAAACAAATCAAACCAAATTACATTCAAATGTATGCAAATAATTATACGGTAATTAGGTAGATCCAATTTTATTATCTAATTACCATAAACTATAAAAAACGTTTACCTCAGTTGATTTGCATTCACATACTTGCACAATCATTTACTTACTTGTAGTACACATTATTTACGAGTACTACGTGCAATTAAATTAATTCTATTCATTAGCCTCTTTAAACGGTTTCAATAAAACATAACATGGTCAATGTGACTTAATTATTATTATGTGTCAAGTATTTCTTTGATGAAGATTTGTGATCAATAATTAACAATTCTATTGACGTAAGCAATGTTATTGTCTTTTAGACAACATTTAATGGCAGGATAGCTAGACAAATATCATCAATAATAACAAAAGAAAATCAAAATATTTCGGCGACAAAACCCATCGCGTTTTAAATTACACACAACGCCATCTATCATCAGTACGTCGAACTGCAAAGCACTGCTTTTTAGCACAGCCTGATGAAACACCTAATTAGGCAAAGGTGAAAGTCAGCAAGTTCTGATAAGTCAATTATTTACAGACACTTTTTCTTGTCTACCTGAACTCCTCAACCAAATACAGTCTTTGTCTAAGTATAGCTTTCGACACTTTCCAGGATATCAACCAACTCTTGATTCAACCTAATGCCGCTGGACAAAGGCATCCCCTAAGGATATCCACAACGACCTGTCCCATTGTCAGTCCACCGCGTGGGAGCCCTGCCTAATAACTTTTGTCGGTCTACCTGAACTCCTCAACCAACTCCATCTTTCTCTACAGATCGCTTTCGCCGCCATCCTCGGCTACGCCTCCGCGAGCGTCATCGCGCCCTTGGTCTACGGCATCAACCACGGAGATGCGCAGGCCGCGGCCATCGACGCGAGCGTCGCCGCGCAAGACCACGCGCGCGCCGCTGTGGAAGGACAAGCGCGCGCCGCCGAGGCTGCCGTGCAGTTCAACACTGAGGCAGTGAGACAGGTCAGTTCCTCAAGCTTATGGCTACTGTAAGCCAGGCCCAGTCCAGCTCAGTTCAACACTGAGGTAGTGAGACAGGTTAGAGCTACTTCTTCAGTCCTATGGCTACTGAAATCCAGGCTCAGTTCAGCCCAGATCAACACGGCCCAACAAGGCCCCTTCGCACGGCAATGCAGTCACTGAGGATTGAGGGCCTTTTCTCACTGCAATCCAGTATTGCGAGATCCAGTAATGTAGGTTCCCTGATCCTAAAGGGAATCCTGCCAAAAACGGATATTCTCACCATCTCTTTCTGGAGCTACTGCGTAGCCAGGATCCATCGATTCTGGGGAATGTTAACCTGAACAGCAACGGAATTAATCAGAAAAACATAGGAGGATTTCGCAGTTAATGATCAAACTTCCATCTAGTGCAAACTCCCACTACCACTTTTGCTAATGTCATTTAATCATTGCAGTCGGTACTAAGGATTTGCCAACATGGTATTCATCAACGCCTTTCTTCCCCAGGTTGCCGAGGCCAGCCGTGACATCAACGAGAACGCTTACTGGAACGGAGTGGCTCACTCCCAGAACGTCGTCGCCGCCGCCCAATCCCAAGCCGCCGCCATTGACGGCGCCGCCCATGCTGCCCGTGCTGCCCACCTCGGTAAGTGATAATCAAGCTACCTTGGATGGGTGACCCGAATTTAACAGCCCTTTTAGTACTCTATATGAAACTTGCTCAATGGCCAAAAGTATCCAGCTTGACTTATTGGATCTGCTGCATTCACTTGAAACGTCTCAGTCTAATTTTAAAAGCATATTTTGCATTTCCTTGATTGGTAATCGGTAGTCGTATCAATCGTGAGTTTCCACTATCAGAGAAACTCTTGTTGTCTTGTTGAAAGAGTACTCTCTAACGATATCTTTTGGCATGCTTTAAATAGAACCCAAAAGCATCTTTCTCTCTCTCTGTTTAGTTCCTATTATGCAGTGTCACAGACGCTTACTAAAGACCATAAACCTCTCTCCTTACAACCCACGCGATAGAATCATAAAAAAACCGCAGCAAGTAAAATTTTTGCCTCTTTTGCCTCCAGGAGTCGCTGGTATCGCCCCCTACGCCGCCGCCCCCTACGTCGCCGCCGCTCCCTACGTCGCCGCCGCCCCCTACGGTCTTGGTCTCGGCGTCCACGGCCTTGGCTACCGCGCTTGGTAAACGGACAACGACCGCCGTTATTAATAACTGTTAATTAACATACCGTTAATACCGGTATTTTGAAAATAACGTTACGTTATTTTGAAATACCGATATTTTTAACGAGTTATTAATAATGGCAATACCTTGTTGGTTAGTGGCGTACTAACTGGCGATGTGAAGAGTGCGAGTGTTGGCAACACTGGGAATTTTACAATGAGCAGTGTTGCCAACATAACGCGTAGTATTACCAACCTCAACGTCAAACGGAAGGAAGCTTGCTCAATAAAAATAAACACAAAGGTCTCAATATGTAACTCTCTTTGTAAATATCTACAAATGTCATGCCATCACTGCCAAAGTGTAAATAAAAACAAGTTATACAAACTACGTGATTTTATTGGTAAAATATACCCTTTAAAATGTCCTAATCCTTATCCTACCTAAAAAAATATCCCTTAATTTAAATCTAAACATACAGGCTAATTTATTGGTAGGTAGTTGATCAAACAAAATGTATACTGCTCGAATGCCAATTTCACCTAGAGAACAAAGTTCATGTTTTCCAATAGAAAAAAAAACAACTTTTCCATGCAAATTGTTCATACATTCATTTAATAGGAACAGGGAAGGGATCAATACTTTTTTGAGAATTCAGATATTGGTTCTATAGAGAAATAATAGATATTAAAGACCTAGGCCGGTTTTCTCTTAATCCAAATCAACTGTAAAATTTCAATCATTTTTCGATCAAATATCCACAATTTTCGATTCGTTTACACTTTCATGTTAAATACTACTGTTTCATACTAATACGTATAAACTTTGAAAACCGTAGATATTTTGACCAAAAACAAATTGTAATTCGATAGTTGACTGACGAAATTGGATTAGGATTGATTAAAGAAAACCGGCACTAAAGTAAGTAAGATCCATATAAATTGGATTTTATTTATATTAACTAATACTTATACTAAATCGTTAAACCTGGTGGTAAACATAGTAATTTAGTTAAATTAACCCAAGATTAACTAATGATTTAAATCTAATAACAACTTGTTATAATAAACAGTAATTTTGATATCCGGCGCGATTTTATCTGATTTTAGTTACATTTTCTCGCTAATGAAATTCTAATCTACACAGATATAGGTAAATGGTTAGTATTATAATAGTCAGAAATCAGAAATATGGATTTTTAAAACATTCGGTCTTCACTCCAAAATATGGTCCGAAGCTATTTTTACCCGACTGCGACAGAAGGAGGGTTATGTTTATGCTTGCAAAATTTTTAGATTGTGACCATTACTTTGTCCAGCAGTGGACGTCATTCGGCTGAAACGAACGACCATTACTTTGGTCCTTTTGCTAAACTATTAAATAAGGAAATGGAATTATAGTGTCCATCTTAAACCCAAACTTATAGACTAAGAGCTAGTGAACGCCAGACCTACGTCATTTTATAAAAGATGAAAGTTTGTCAGCGTATGCTCCCAATATAGGATAGAATGTTGGTGAATCATGAAGTTTGGGTCATCATGGCTTTGGCAGCTATCCTAAAAAAACTGTCTGGCAAAGAGTTAGAACTATCAAAACTGTCTGGTTGATGAGGAAACTACTTCTAATTATTGCCCTAATATTTTATATAAAAATCAGCTTTTATAGTATAACGAAAAACGCATAATTATGACAATAAAACTCATTTCTTTTCTAACGCCAAAAGTCTGTCAATCTTCATACAAAAAACACGCGTTATCGTTATATGTACTCGTAATTACGGTTAAACTAACTCAGCCTAACTAATAAGTGCTAATTTGCACCTAATATATATCTCATGTGCTATATTTATTATAACTATGTCAATAAAGTTTTTATCTAATTATTTAAAGTTGGCACGCGGAACTCTAAAAGCACTAAGAGCTAACATACCAGATTAACAAAGCTGTTATCGCGTTTAAAATTCCGTAGCTCGCTTGGTACAGTCAGCGTGGAATAGTTCGTGACACCCAAAGTAGCCAAAATGTTCGCAACACGTCTTTGTTACAATGAGGGCTATTGTTTTAGCGCTCACCAGTTAGCGCCACTGTAGAGTAAGGTCCTGTCACTTGCTAGTAGCGAAGACAGTGGCGCCAACTTGTGAGCGCTAAAGTGGTAAGAGGACTATCGTATTTGCACTCATCAAGATGGCGCCACTGTAGAGTAAGGTCCTGTCAATCGGCAGGGGTGCCAACTGTTAAGTATAAAAACGATAGCCCTCATTGGAATAAGGTTGTGTTAAATTGCCAACTTTTTGGCCACTTTGGGTGTCACCTACTATTTGACGCTGACATAAAAATAATACAGAAAAAAGTCTATCAGATTAATATATGAAACTAAAATCATCATCAGGTCATTTAGTCTCCACTGCATGAGCACAACCCTCTCTAATGTACCAGAGGCAAATGGAGGATTTGGCGTACACTCCCCACGCTGGCCAGACGGGTAAGGGTAATTGTCAATTAGTAAATTATGACCTAGTAGGAGGCCTGCCCACGCTACGTCTTCCAGCCCGTGGTCGCCACTCGAGAACTTTCCTGCCCCAACGGCCATCGTCTCTACGAGCTATGTGCCCCGCCCACTGCCACTTGATTTTAGCAATTCTGCGAGCTATGTCGGTTACTTTGGTTCTCCTGCGGATCTCCTCATTTCTGATTCGATCACGCAGGGAAACTCCGAGCATAGCCCGCTCCATCGCCCTTTGGGTCTGGCCCCATCGACGATCTGGTAAAGGTCGCGGGAAGAGCCTGGATGCGGGCAGCGCAGGACCGTTCATTGTGGAAAACCTTGGGGGAGGCCTTTGTCCAGCAGTGGACGTCATTTGGCTGAAAAGAAAGAAGAAAGAAAGAAAGAAAGAAGAAATTATGACATTCACGGAAAGAGAGGAAGTGATCCTATTTCACTCTACTGGAACTAAACAACGTAAACCAAAATCATAAAGAGAGATTATATTGCCTCATTCATAATACAATTTATCATTTGGCTTGGCACCAAAAGCGCGCGGAGTCGTCCGCGCGCGTCCCTCTATTCTAACGTTTTCTAGTGTGACATTGACATTACGTCAATGTCACTATGACAGCAGCTCATTGGCCATAACGCTACCGTTATTATAACGTTTTAGATTTTCACAAATAACAATAGGTATCTTCTGGATATACTTGCTTCATCATATAGGTATCGCATTTGCATTCTTTGGGATTTTTAAGCCTAACCAATCCAATATAAAAATATAGACTCAAAATATTAAAGTCACAGTAATTTGACATTTTATTCCGCTCAGATTGTGAAATTTTTGAAAAAAAAGAATCTTGTAAGCTTTTGCGCATTACTTTGTTTTAAGAAACCATTTAAGAAAGGGTGTTATTTAACAAGACTGTACAAACCACAGACAAAGGAAAACGAATGATCTAGAAAATTTCAAAACGGGTCCAGCCCTGCGACCGGTGTGACAAGGTATAGTGACCTTTAGTGGATGGTAATAAGAGTTAATTACAAATGGCAGGCGCGGACTGTTGAAATCTAGCCTGCCTTGGTGAGGGCGTAGGCTTTCTTGCGTATCGGACACACTGTTGTTATGTTCGGTGAGCAACGAGATTAATTTTGTTAATTTATTGTAAAGCGCAATACACATTGAGCCCGCCGGGTCGCCGACAAAGCCCGGCGGCCTGTATGAAAAGAATCATGTCGGCAACATGCGCCCGCGCGTGTTACCCGCCGACATGTTGGCGGCTTGGGTACGCCTGCGCGCGCTCAGTTGCCCGGCGACGCATGACCTGTAGTGACGTGCTTGTATACTGACTGCCAAATAAATATCTTATCTCAAGCCGCCGACATGCCGCCGACCAAATAGGCTAGTTGCCTAAAAAAATTTTTTTAGTCCGTAATGTTTAATATCAAAAAATATTGGACACATATATTTTTATTTGTCAATCTAACAAATAATTACATAGTTATGGTGCGTTGAAGTTGCGCACGACGTCACAACGTGCGGCATTTTTAAGCAAGCGTTGACGTCACGGGCCTCTTCTTATGAACTTTGGGGCGCTTTATCTCTTTAAATTTTCATTAGTTTAAAAAAGTGAAAAATACGTGTAGAGTATTTTTTGATAAGTTAACTGACGGACTAATTAAAACTCTTGCTTTTTGACCCAGGCAACATCCCCATTTTCCGACTTGTGATAAGTGAAGCCACCAACTAGACCGCCTACAAAAAGTTGCCGACATATTATGTTGTACGGCGGCCCGGCGGGCTCAATGTGTATTGCGCTTAAGAGTAATTTATTTGTATCATAGCTGAAAACACAGCATTGTTTGTTGTAAGTTATGATTATGATTCAAATAAATTACTCCCTGAAAATCAATTTCGAGACATGCCCTTGCGGTCTCCATGAGAAGAAGAAAGTATCAGCAGCTATGGGGTAGAAAAGTGGTCGAAAACGGTGCCAAAAAAATGTTCACTATCTAAAATCGTACACCGCAAGGTAAAAACCTAAATGGAATGAAGGGAAAATCAAATGGTGAGTGCAGTAATACATTATTTTATTTTTTCTGCAGCTACAGACACAAAATTATTTCTGGGATGGAACTATGAAAGTTTAATGTTTGTTCTGTCGACTGCAACAGCAAAAACTTTAAAAATTAAGATGTAAACTTCAAAATCCGATAACGTACACTCAGTTTTTTCCTGAGCATGCTCGCCATCCTTCCCAGTAGTATTCTCTCAAAATATCAATCGCACAAAAGAATTCACGAATGTTGATCGCCTTGGGCAAGCAAATGTATAATAACTAATTACGCTACATATAATAAGTGTTGTTTGTTATTTCGATCTTAATGCTCCACTTCCGCGGTTGGGTACGGTCGTTGATTGATAAATCGTAGGTGTGTAGATAATACGGGCCTATACACTTTTGTGATGCGTGGTGCATGGGATATTAGACTATTAAAAGTCTTCGTGCATCTTACGCCCGTATTCACAAACATTACTATGAGGTCTCACCATAGAGATATTGAGAGATGCCAACTAATGCGCTGAGTTCGAAACTCAGTGTCGCATTAGAAATTCACACACACAAAGTAATCAAAATATATGCCCATTATCCAGTGCGGTATCAGTACTCAACTTTCGAATAATCTTTAGTACTACGCAAGCAATGTAAACTGTTTTACATTATGCTATCACGAGCAATGTGTTCTGTTTTTGGGCATATTGCTGCGACACCGGCCAAGCCTCTTTGTCACATCTCCCTTTAGTTTCTGTGATCTGTGGGTCTCACAGTGTGCGTGGACGCACAGGGTGACACGTGAACCAATCACAGAGCGCTATTCAACGCTGTGCGTTCGATTTGCTGCTTCACTTAAGCAGGCATCGTTTGTGAATACTGGTTATACTGGCGTATTTCTCAGTATGTTATCGTACGCATGTAAGCATGTTCTTAAGTAAGTAAATGTATATTTTTATGACAATAAATATTTTAAACCGTAATCATTAAACTGAACTAATCTATTTTTAGCTAAGACCGCGTATTTCGATACAACATTAAATTGCAATCGACCGACTTCGAAATTAATTTATACAATGGACAACACGCATAAGTTGTAATATTAAGTTAAATTATGACTTAATTTAAAGTTTAGATCACACACATTACACTAGTTTTTATTTCACCTCAATCCATCCAGTATTACCGAAGATAGAGCCTCGAGAAGTTTACGGACTTTTTAAAATTTTCAAAAATTTCCAATATTCGCGCGTGACGTCACAACATGATTTTGCAGCCCCCGCACGTTAACCCATTTACCACTTTTTGTCTTTTTCCAACTAAAATAAAATTTTACCTAACTGACAACTGTTGTTAGTTGTCATCGTTCAATCACATTTCAAACTAAGCGCTAAAAAAGTAACCATTATTATGCCACCTATTGCCAATTTTGTGCAATATGAAGCCATTTTTACATTTATGCACTTAAATATTTTATAAATCTGGAAAAATAACCAAGTTTGTGTCTCTGTGCTCAATAACGAGTAAATATAGTCCAGTTATTTGTTAATTTTACTTGGAAAGTTTTCCGGAATTTTTGACAATTGGTGAATAAATAGATTTCGCTATGTTCTTTCCGAATTTTGTGACCTCGTTTATAGCCGCGCGCGCGCCCGCCTTATTGAAAAAAATCCGCCTTAAAAAGGTTTTTGACAACTACTTTTTTCATTTTATAATTTTTGGGACAAGCTAAGAAGCTTTGATAAATGTGATAAATTTCATGTAATGTAAGTTAAATAGATTTAGAGCTGTGAAACAGTCAAATTAATGTACCTGCTAAATTGCAGGAGAACCAAAGTGACCGACATAGCACGCAGAATTGCTAAAATCAAGTGGCAGTGGGCGGGACACATAGCTCGTAGAGACGATGCCCATTGTGGCAGAAAATTTCTTGAGTGGCGACCACGGGCTGGAAGACGTAGCGTGGGCAGGCCTACTACTAGGTGGACCGACGATCTGGTAAAGGTCGCGGGAAGAACCTGAATGCGGGCAGCGCAGGACTGTTCATTATGAAAAACTTATGGAAAACCCAAATGATTCTCGCCTTTGTCCAGCAGTGAACGTCATTTGGCTGTAACGACGAAATAGGAAAGAATGTAACTATCAAAAATCTTCTCTAAGGCAGCATTTTTACAATTTCGCAACGAGCGCGGCAATCACACTTAACTAACAGACTAACAGAGAGCATAGTCTATTTTAATCACCAATTTTCAAAACTCCCGGAACACTTTCCAGTTAACCACGTTAATTTGTACCAAACGACAGGACTATAATTTAATTGATATAAAAATTTGGGTACATCTTCTCAAAAACAAAAGAACTGGTGCTAAAAGGGTTAAGTGACGTTTTGACATTTGTAGAGGGCCTTATAGAAGGGGAGGCTATGGTGCTGAATGTGGATTAACTTGAGTGTCATAGTAACTTATTAGACTGCTAAGCTTGATGATAAAAAGAAAAATATTTTATTCAATGTACAGTCACGGAATGAAAAGGTTCGTCAGTTTTCAAATTGATTCCTTCAACGAATCGCGAGCACATATTACCTTTTGAAACTTTGTTACAGAATAATCTCGAGTTAGAGAAAATAATCTTTAACTGTTCGTCAGTAAAGTTCAAAATTATTCAGATCAAAGTTGTTTTTTTTATGTGACATGAGGCAAACGAGCAGACGGTTTAACTTGTCAAGAAGATTATAATGATTGATAAACTAAAACCTTCTTGTTGATTCAACCTGTCATTATCTATTAAATAAAAAAAACTACATTTTGTAACATTGCACTGATGGGATAGAAAAATAAACAAGCAAAACCTTATTCGTTATCAAACGTCATATTTATTTAAATGTTAGCAGCACTGTTTCTTGCACGGTTATGTTGGCAGGTTTGACTCTTACAGTACCTAGTGCAAGCGAAAACCGACACTAAGGTGACGAACCTTTTCATTCCGCGACTGTACATAGTCTGGTCATAAGTTATGTCATATGATAATAACTTTTGAATTATGAATGAAGGTTTCAAAAACATTTTTTACTGAATTAGAATTAAAAAGAAAAAATGTGCGATAGTTCGGATTTTATTGTACCTATGTGTAGTGGACGCATAAAGAAGTCCAAACTGCAGTTGTCACGTTGCATTGCTACGCGCCAAAGCTGATTTTCATTGTGGTGAAAAAATTTAGTTTGTCATTTCATTAAATGATAGGTATAGGTGTACCAGAATCTCATGGCAAACAAAAATATTGAAAAAGTGTGTCTTTCATATGGCAAATGTCTATGGATTTATTGTCACCTGTCAAAGTAAATCAAGTGAACTGTCAGTCGCTGCAGAAATTTTGTAATCTCTTCATGCCTATTTGTTATTTTTGTGAAAAAGTCGAAAAAGCTCAAGCTTTCAATTTCAGGTGTACCTCACAAATTGGTGCAGAGAAATGGTGAAAATGTTATGACCATGTAAATACAATTGAAAAAGATTTCATCAAGTAAGATGTAAGATAGAATAATTGAAGTGTTGGAAGAGCAATTTATAATAAATACATCTTTATCTTGATCATCTATTGAAGAAAAGTGGAATTCTTGGAATCGTTTTCTAGTTCTGAATGAAGTGATTAGTTATAAGTATGATACACAATAAAATTAGTTACATAAAGTAATATACGATTTACTTATTTTTCAAGACATTTTCCTATTATTATTACTGACGGGATTGCTACCATGTACCTTAGTTTTGAGTTTCCAATATTTCGGCACTATTGCAAGCGCCATGGTCACGGAGTAACTGAAGAAATTAAAACCAGACATCGTTCAGATGTGCGTTCAAAAGACCTGAGAATAAAAAAAATCCCACGTTTTGTTTTACAGTAAGCGAAAAAAAAGTGTCTTGAAAATGGAATACAAAATGATAAGGTATGGTAAATGATAAGTCTTTATCAATGAAGAAGCAGAAGTTCAATTTCATGTGTCCTCCATCTAGGCTAGTTTCCATCGTCACTCAAAGTTTGGCTGCGGTCTCAAATTTGGGCTTAATTGAGGTATTTTTTGGGTGAGAGGCATAAGAACTAATGCCGTTTTATATCAAAAATTCATACTTAGAGGTAATCAACCAGGTACAAAGTATTTCCTTGTATGTTAGTCTGCCACTCTTTAGTAAGTCCCGAAATCCCCGCTTCGGCTGCCCCTACTAACCATTCTAACCATTGTACACAGATAATATCTTACATGCAGCTTTTCATGTTACTACGTCACATTTTCAAAATCCGCGCGGAAAATCGCACCTAGCGGAAGAGCGCACTTTGAGTTTGAATATTTCAGTCATTTTTAAAGATATCAAAAAAGTAAAAATACAGTATTCATTCTAATTTTTTGTAGTTTTTTTTGGCATCTTCAACAAAAATTGTGCGCCATGTCCATTATAGTCACTTATCAGTGATAGTGGTCAAACAATGAACAAGGTAAACGGGCACACCCTGTAGTTTGTACTAGTTTAGCAAGACGGTAATAGACTGTATAATACAGGGTGTTAACTAGAACGTTCTGGTAAAAACTGGACAATTATTGGTTAAGTGCTGGTAGAATATTACACCCTATATAAAAATATAAAATATAGGGTGTAAACTGGAAAATTGTGTTAAAAACGGGGCGAATAGTTACCATTAGAATTTCATAAAATACTAGCGGCCGCCCGCGACTTCGTACGCGTGGATCCCGTTTTACCCCCTTTTCCCGAATTTTCTTTGCTATAAACCTCACGGAGCCCGAGACCTTTCCAACGAATGCAAAACCGTGGAAATCGGTTCGTGCGTTCTGGAGTTATAGCGTCAGGGAGGAAAACCCGACTTATTTTTATATAGTAGATTACGAAATATTTTATGAATATTGAACGTTCGGTGTAACCCGATCGAAACGTAAAGTTAGTTTTTTCTATGGTTAAGTGTATCACGTTGAAGTAATTTCATACATTTCCTGATTTAAAAAAGTCTTTTGAGTGCTGAGGCTAAACAAATACGAATACAAATTAATATCCCCCTTTTAAGGGGCTATCATATACTCGTTCCCCCACAAAGGAAGAGTTTGGGAACCGCTGTAAAAGCACTTGCCTTCCTCTATATTGTGGACAGACAACTCCACTCACTACTGATAATGTTTTTATGGAGCTCTCATATGCACACATTCATCATCATCATCATCATCATTTCAGCCACAGGACGTCCACTGCTGAACATAGGCCTCCCCCAATGACTTCCACATCGCACGGTTGGTAGCGGCCTGCATCCAGCGCCTTCCCGCTACCTTTATCAGGTCATCGGTCCACCTTGTGGGTGGACGTCCCACGCTGCGTTTTCCGGTACGTTCCGGTATGCACACATTGTTGAAAAGAAAATAAATCGTCGTTCTTTTTATTATTTTTTTAAGAAATCAACTTTTTAATGCAATAAACTTAAAATTTATGTCACTTCAACGATGAAACAAAGTTTGACAACCACTTATCACATCAATCAATTCCTGTGGGTCTAGACAAAGTGCAAATTATAATCGCAAACCAGTCGAAAAGTGGTCGATAAGCCCCTTTTTTGTATGGAGTTTTGACGGATTCGATTTTCGATTCGATCAAAAAGTGCGTTTTGTCTAGGGGGGCTGATCATAAAACTTTTTCTAAAGAGGCTGTCATAATAATCTCCTTATCCTACTTCCATAGAAAAAAATTAGGATGTAAAATCACAATCGTAGAAAAAGTTTGACAGCCGCTGTAAAATCACTTACCTTTCTCCGAAGCCCCTTTCAGTTGTTCAGCCTTCGCTTGTAACTTCACCTGCATGTTCTCAGCGCCTTCCTTCATCTTGGCCAGGATACCTGCATGGAAAACGATACCTTATTACACTGGCCATAGATAATAATTTCAAGTGATTAACAGTCGTCGTTTTTCACAAGAAGGGGATTTTTTGGTAATAAATTTCCAGTTGCTGCCAGTAGGGTAACTACGAATAACCGAATGCAACTATACATATCATCAAATCATCATCATCACCAAGGCCCTTACCATTAAACCTAATCGCTAGCGAGTGCGTGAATCTATGAACATTTTAGTTCTTGTAAGTAGCCGCTAGGGGCGCTGTACTATCTGTCATGCATTTTGAGTCATTTTTTTACGCAGTCGCTAGCGAGCACACCTAATGTAAAATCATGGTAAGGGCCCAGGTCATTTATGCCCGTTTTTACCATCAATCACTAATTTTTAAGTGACCCCTTTCAAAACAAAATTCCTGTTATGTGTTACCTACCATAGGGGTCACTTAAAAAATTAGGATTGATGGTGAAAACGGGCATTACTTAGTCACCCCACTGCAGGCGGACAACCCTCTTTAAATTACCAGAGGCAAAAGAGATCCTCCTAGTATAGTCTTACCAACATGCATATAGACAATACTAAATTGACAGAACAAGGATCAAATCCAAATCTTAATAAACTAATAAAATAAATATTACTAGGCCTCTAGGCCTATCTAAAAAGATACTAAAAGTACCGTGACATAATCTGTAATCAACAGAGCTACTCCGCATTTTCTGTTTTATCCGTCACTGTCATTCATACTGACATCTAACTTAGCGTGAAAGGGACAGATATGTCCTAAACTTCAAATAATTTAAAGAATAGCCCCGTTGACACACCAATGTAAAATACAAACCATGTTTGTCCTTTTCTTTCAACAGGCGTTCCATATCGCCAGCCTTGTCTTTCACTCGTCCGAAGAAATCTATCCGTTAGCATGCGTGATAAAAAGAAGTCATATATCATCATCATCATCATCAGGTCATTTAGTCTCCATTGCAGGAGCACGACTCTCTAATTTACCAGAGGCAAATGGAGGATTTGTCCTACACTCCCCACGCTGGCCAGACGGGTTGGGGAGGCCTGATGTGCATAATTATAATCAAGCTAAGCAATGTTGAATCTTATGCAGTTGTATTAGATGCTGTTTTGCGACAACAATATGTAGTTCAATGTACTGTGGTACAGTCAGTTTCAGATAGTGACACCCAAAGTGGTCAAAAAGTTGACAGCACAACCTTATTCCAATGAGGGCTATCGTTTTTATACTTAACAGTTGGCACCCCTGGCGATTGACAGGACCTTACTCTACAGTGGCGCCATCTTGATGAGTGCAAATGCGATAGTCCTCCTACCACTTTAGCACTCATCAGATGGTGCCACTGTCTTCGCTACTAGCAAGTGACAGGACCTTACTCTACAGTGGCGCCAACTGGTGAGCGCTAAAACGATAGCCCTCATTGTAACAATGGGGAATAGCGTCAATGTTAATGATCTGTTCTTACAACAAAAGAAATGTATACGAATAATGGCCCAAATTAAAAATACCCAAAGTTGCAGACCATTTTTTAAAAAATTTAATATCCTCACGCTCACATCGATATACATTCTGGAAATATGCACATTCGTCTTTAAAAATATGCACTTCTTCTTAAAAAGGAAAGACACTCATAATTTAAACACCCGACATAAAGATAAACTCTTTCTGCCACAATCTAGAATTAAAAAACTTAACTGCAGCCCACTATTTATGTCAGTAAAAATTTATAATAAAATACCTATAGAGATAAAAAACCAAACTAAATTCAAAATTTTCAAGAACCAATTAAAAAAATATTTAATTACCAACTGCTTTTATACATTAGATGAATTCTTTAATAGTAAACAAACTCTTTTAAGATAAGGCATCTCATAATGTAAGTTGCTAGACCTAAGTTTAGACTAGTCCTCTCTCACCACTAATATTGCAATACCCATTAACGGGTTATTAAGTTATAAGCTCATTGTTTAGATTAAGACCCAATTGTAAACACTTAATATGCAATAAAAAATTTGAATTTGAATTTGAATTTGAAACAAAGACGTGTTGCGAACTTTTTGGCTACTTTGGGTGTCACGAACTATTTGACGCTGACTGTATTAAACTTATTAGTGTAAGCTTCAAACCAGTCAAAAACAAACTGTCAGAACGTAATAAGTCATTTGGCACTCATAATGTTTATGATCGTACTGATGTGTCATGACTATTGATGTGCCGTTCCCGAGAACGCTCTCTCAACTGAGAATATTCTCGGGAGCGCTCCCGGGAGCGTTCTCCTAAGTGAGAAAGGTTGAGAATCATGTTTGTCAAATGGAAATAAACAAACTTTCGTAAGTAAATTAGTATTAAATTAAGTCGACAGATAAGTGTATAAACAATACACTCTATTTGCAGTGAAAGGCTATATTCCCAGTGTTCCCGAGAATATTCTCGGGAACTTTCCCGGCAATATTCTCGGCAACTGCACCTTTATATATTTTATTTTTTTCGTCGTGAAATGTCGTTTTAATGATATGTAAGATGACAGAAATTTCTTTTTACACGTAATTAAATAATGTAACTGTCCATTTTTTCGTTTTTAACACGATTTTATTAGGTCGTCGTGTATGTAACTAACTATGTAATGGAATCTTAGAATCTGAATCACACGTACTTCTAAGTCTTGTATCATCATGAAACTTGGCAATTATAATGTAGATTAGATGACAATACAATATTGTGGTACCAGCTGGTCTGATGATGGGACTGGAAGGTGGCCAAAGGAATTCCTAAACGAAACGGCGGAATCACATCGAGTTTGGGGTCATTGGATTTGTCTTTTCGAGATCTTTAATGCTAGATGATGTCCAGGGTCCTGATGATTTTTGGCCTTTTAGTGCTGTTAGTAATTAAAAGCGTGTTTTTAGTTTTTTAAACTATTCTTATTTGACATTAAGGACATATTTCACAATTGCTTAGTAAGGGCCAGTTTCGCCACTTCTGGATAAGTTGTGGATAGCTTGTCTGACGGATCATTTGACACATTTTTATAGAAAATACGTGCTAGCTAGATTGATCCGACACTTACCGAATATATCCCGGACATTAGTCTGTACGCGATTAGAATGGTTCTCAAACAGCTGAAAAACAGCAAGGCACCGTAATCACGGCTGAGCTTCTGAAAGCAGGCGGAATGCCGGCACTAAAGGCTTTTCAGAAGCTGCTCGATTCCGTCATCCTCGAGGGAATAACGCCTACGGCATGGCAAAGAAGTATGGTGATACTCATCTTCAAAAAAGGCGACAAGACCTTGTTGAAGAATTATAGACCCATTTCGCTTCTGAGCCATGTCTACAAGCTGTTTTCGATAGTCATTACGAATTGTCACGTTAGCAGGCTCGACGACTTTCAGCCTCCAGAACAAGCCGGTTTCCGAAAAGGCTTTAGTACCATAGATAGACCATAATAATATACGCTACGGCAGATTATATGGAAGATCAAGGAGTATAATCAGCCGCTTTGCGTTTGTGAACTATGAGAAAGCCTTCGATTCGATTGAGACATGGGCAGTGCTGCAGTCTCTCCAACTGTGCCAAATTGACTATCGATACATTAAAGTGTTGAAAGGCTTGTACAAATAAGCCACAGTGACAGTCCGTTTCAAGACCAGGACCCGAAACCTATCCAGTTGCAGCGAGGGGTGAGACAGGGAGACGTCATCACCATCGCCCTGGAAGATGTTTTTAAGCTTCTGGGCTAGAGCGGATTCAGCATAAATATCAACGGCGAGCACAAATAATGTATACCTGGGACAAACAGTCCAGTTAGGTAGGTTCAACTTCGAAAAAAGGTCAATCATCGAATCCAGCTCGGCTGGGCAGCCTTCGGGAAGCTTCACGATATTTTCACGCGGCGTCTCCGTCGCGTTGCCGCTCTGCTTTTAATCCGCTTTGAATCCGCTTGCAATCCGCTAGGGTGGCAAGGGCCTTAAAACTCAGAGGCACACTGATGTTCAAATACCGTAGCCGAGTCCTAAAGCCGCGGTACGCGTTCGCCACGAAAAGAGTGAGCAAGACAGCAATATCTCACTCACACGTGTCATGCCTTGTTTATAACGACTAGTCTTAACGCCCAGTTTCGAAACATTGCAAATAATATCACATAAACAACAAAATTAAAATTAAAACTAAATGTATTCTATCGAGAACACTGAGAATATTCCCGGGAGCGTTCTCGGTTCTCGAGAATATTCTCACTGGGAATATTGCCGGGAACGAGAACTTTCTCAGCGGCACATCTCTAGTCATGACATAACTTGTCAGACAAATATAAATCTGGCTTTAGAAAGCAGCATTATGTGTCAGATGAATTCTGAAACTTTATTCATCAGAAAGCGATAAAACGGGACTTAAATCTACATAATTCACACATCAGTCAGTTAGTCAAACATGCCCAGCTACACACCTCGACGAAGACCTCGAAGTAGTTAAACGTAGTTCGAAGCGCGTATCCACACACTCGTGTTCATACTTCTAAGCACTTCGAGCGGTTTGATTCGGGCGCAAAAACAGACATCTTTCTGAAACTGGACTGAACGAGGCAAGATTGCTCGAAGTGAAGTGAAATACACATCTACTTTTTACTTCGATTAACTTCGGCAAACTTCGCGAGTAATGTAGCTGAGGTATCACACATTGCCATAGACTTCTTGGCATTCTTAATTTCAAAACGATTAAGCGGAAACTCTTTGTGTTAAGCGTGAACTCTGAAACTCTATGACCTACTATGGAATTGTCTATGGTCTACGGGGCAACAGGACAGCTGCGGCGTTCCTTCGACTTCTGGTTTCAATGGCGAATCTATTAATAACCATTTTATTTGAAATATGTTAATAATTTTGAATACAAATAATTATTAAAATTTTATTATTTTTATGATACTGATTATGTTAATCTGCTGGCCTGTTTATGACTGCAGTTAAAGTCTTATTTTATTCATTATTTTATTAGTAATCTGTATTTTAAAGCAACCGTTACCATTGAAAGAATCGTTTGGCACGTAGATAAAGTCCGGTCGGCGGCAGATAGAATTTCGTCCAATGACCCCAAGATACTCATCCTTATCACTCGCATGTAATTATATTGCTGTCGCGACTGTCGACGGGCGGCCACAGTGAGTGTGCGATCGCGAAAACAATATAATTACACGCGAGTGACAAGGATGAGTAGCTTGGGGTCATTGGAATAAATTCTATCTGCTCAGCGACCGGACTTTAGTTACAAATTATGACGTAGGCATCAGCTAGGAAACTATTTTTCACAAATTCAACCCCTAAGAGGTTTAAAGGGGTCCAAATATAACGCGAGCAGAGCCGCGACCAAAAGCTAGTATTCTTTAATAGCCAAAAACTTCAAAGTAGTAATTATTATTAATAAATTAACTTTCATGACGTCACAATAGTGTGCAATGCGTAAGACCAGGCGTGAATTCTTATAAAATTATTATGTTGGTAATATTGTGTTGGTACTAACCGGATATTCGTTTGGTTGCGTCCGGACTGGCAGACTGTGTCAGTGCTGCCACCCTTATGTACTCGCTCGTGATTAGACCGGCAGCCTGCAGAAATTCATTTATTAGAACATCATCATCATCAGAGAGCCTAGTGTGAATTTAATCAAACGCGCGTCAAAAATGACATTAAATGTATGACGGATTGTACAGCGCCCCTAGCGGAAAACGTTCAAAAACTAAAATTTTCATAAATTTTTTATTGATATAAACTCACACTCAGCCCACAGGTCATTTACGCCCGTATTCACAAACGATGCTTGCTTAAGTGAAGCAGCAAATCGAACGCACAGCGTTGAATAGAGCTCTGTGATTGGTTCGTGTGTCACCCTGTGCGTCCACGCGCACTGTGAGACCTCATAGTAATGTTTGTGAATACGGGCATTAGTCTCCAATGCAGGAGCACGACGAGGGTCGTGCCTCTCTAATTTGATAGAAGCAGGATTTGGCGTACACTGTCTACGCTGGCAATTAAATAGTAAATTCAAATCAATTCAAGGTTCAAATTAATAAATATTTAGGAGAAAATTAAGGGTGTTTCATCAATCGCACACATAAACAAGATCAGCTGAACTTTGTTCAAAAGCTGTCATTGTATACATAGTTTGCTGTCACCACAGAAAATAAAAGCTGTCATTGCCATGACAATGGAATAGTCTACTGTCAAAACAGATATAATTTAATCCCTGCTAAAAGGCTGGGTTGCACCATCTCATTTTAACTTTAACAAACGTCAAAAATCTGTCAAACTCCATACAAAAAACATTATAGGTTATTGTTATAGTTACGGTTAATGTAAGATGGTGCAACTCAGCCTAGGTATATAGCGCTTAACTGAATCAGTGAAATAAATAGATAATAAATAAATATCCTTAAGACATTTTACACTGCGCTTCTAGTCCCAAACTAAGCAAAGCTTGTACTTGGGTATTACACAACGGATATAAACATACTTAAATACTTATTTTTTTTGTAAATACATACTTATTATACACAGAAAACACCCAGTCCAATACAAACAAATATGTTCATGCACACAAATGTATGTACTGTGCGGGAATCGAACCCGCTGCCTCCGGAATAGTAGTGTGTATCGAACCACTACACCAAACGATCGACAAAAAGTGTCTAAGTATTGGAAGTGGCATGGGAGGATGCTTTTGTGACATTAAAAAGTCACTGAGATGTCAAATCTCCTTCAGATTTGTATGCTCTGTCACGTCATAATGTCAATGTCACCCTCCCGTGCCGCTCCATACCACAGGCATTGAAAGAGTTAATCGCTAGAGCTATAGTTATAATTACCTCTAAGCTGGCCGGACTCATGGCAGAATACTCCTCGCTGAGGAGTTCCACGATCAGACCCTCGATGTCGAAGAACAGGATGTGACTCTCAGGATCTGCCAAATAAAACAGGTTTACAGTCACTACAATGCGTTGCGATTAACGGGTCTTTTGTACCTTTAAATGGACATAAAAAGTTCAAATACTTTGTTATTTAGAATTTAGGACAGACAAATATTATGTTTTATTTAATACTTTGAGATTGAATCCTTCTACAGTGCGTTGGCAATACCAGCCAGTGCTATTCCCGAACGCTCTAACATCCGAAACAACATTATTCGGACGTTAATGTTCGGATCGGATCTATCTTTCACTGTCTCATAACAGCATCTCGCTCTGAGAAAACTTCAGACGTTGTTAGAAGCTCCACATAGCCTGTTTAGCCAAAGCTCCAGTCTAGCTATGGCCAGGGCCTTACAAACAGACTTTGATTGCGTGGCCTGGGCACGGTAATACTATCTATACAGTATTCCAACTCGGCCATATTTTTGAAATAAATGTCAACAGCAGCGCGGTACGTCACCGAATGACAACATGCGATAGGGCTGCCCAAGTGCCCACCTGCAGACCCTATTTTCATTACATCTAGTTTTGTGATTGTATTATATTTTTATTTTATTTTGACAAACAAAATCACTTACTGAATGAAATAGGATTAAATGCATGTTGTGTTGTTATTAGTAGATTTAATAAAAACTATATTTGTGTTAAGATTTAGTAATAAATCTTATAAATTTGCGACCGTAAAATGTATACGTCTCGACTGAGGCGTACAAAATTCTTGATTATTATACAGGGTGTTAGGTAAATGGGTTAAGCCGACACTAGCTCATGTTAACATGTGCATATAAATGGTATACTTAGTGAAGTCAGAAAATTGATATCATCATTTTAATAATTTTAATTTTCATACAAATCTGATTTTATAAATTTTATTTTGTAAGTATGAAAATTAAAAAAATTAAAATGATATCACTGACTTCACCATACAATTTATATGCATAATATGTTAACATATGATAGTGTCAGCTTATAAACCTATTTACCTAACACCCTGTATAAATAGGTAGTTGTAATTATTTTTATAAAAAAAAGAGTGCTTACTGTTTCAAAAACAACACATCGTCCGTTTATTACCGTGGCACATTCGCGACACCCCCGACTTTTGCATGTCGAGCGCATACCGAGATTTGAATTTCGAAGGAAAGCTCGCGTTTCGTCCGTTTATATGAAGTTACAATACTGTATGATAGTATTACCGTGGCCTGGGTCTTGCAGCGGAGTGGAGTTGCGCAAAATCTTTTGACTATAATAAGCTAAAGCCCGGTTTCCGAGCACGTATTATTTTGTCCAATGACCCCAAGCTACTCATACTTATCGCTCGCGCGTAATTATGTTGCAGTCGCGCTCGCACACTCACTGCGGGCGCCCGTCGCACAGTCGCGACAGCAATATAATTACGCGCGAGCGATAAGGATGGGTGGCTTGGGGTCATTGGACGAAATTCTACGTGCTCGGCGATCAGACTATACTTGATATACCTTTGGGGTTAGATCTGAACCCTTGTATAGTGAGCTGAGCCCGCCTGGCCCGGGCGGGCTCGGCTAGCGGCCCGGCGTTGCTCGCGTGGCCCGGGCCCTGCAACGCAGCAAGGCCTCTCTGCGTGGCCTGGGCCTTGCAAACAGGCCTTATGACGTATATAATAAAGTACATTATCACATACCTTTGGGGTTAGATCTGAACCCTTGTATAGTGAGCCGGCCCGCCGTTGCTAGCATGGCCCGGGCCCTGCAAACAGGCCTTATAAGGCCGTATTTGCGTAGCCTGAACCTCGAAACAGGCCTTATGAACTATACAATAAATTACATTATCACATACCTTTGGGGTTAGATCTGAACCCTTGTATAGTGAGCTGAGCCCGCCTGGCCCTGGTCCTGACAGCGAGGCCTCTCTGCGTGTCCTGGGCCTCACAAACAGGCCTTATGACCTATACCATAAAGCACATTATCACATACCTTTGGGGTTAGATCTGAACCCTTGTATAGTGCGCTGAGCCCGCCTGGCCCTGCGTTATCGAATCAGAAATGAGGAGATCCGCAGGAGAACCAAAGTAACCGAGTAAAAGAATTGCTAAAATCAAGTGGCAGTGGGCGGGGCACATAGCTCGTAGAGACGATGGCTGTTGGGGCAGGAAAGTTCTCGAGTGGCGACCACGGGCTGGAAGACGTAGCGTGGGCAGGCCTCCTACTAGATGGACCGACGATCTGGTAAAGGTCGCGGGAAGAGCCTGGATGCGGGCAGCGCAGGACCGTTCATTGTGGAAAACCTTGGGGGAGGCCTTTGTCCAGCAGTGGACGTCATTTGGCTGAAACGAACGAACGAACGAACATTATTGCATACCTTTGGGCTTGGATCTGAACCCTTGTATAGTGAGCTGAGCCCGCCTGGCCCGGGCGGGCTCGGCTAGCGGCCCGGCGTTGCTCGCGTGGCCCGGGCCCTGCAACGAGGCCTCTCTGCGTGGCCTGGGCCTTGCAAACAGGCCTTATGACTTACATAATAAAGTACATTATCACATACCTTTGGGGTTGGATCTGAACCCTTGTATAGTGAGCTGAGCCCGCTTGGCCCGGGCGGGCTCGGCTAGCGGCCCGGCGTTGCTCGCGTGGCCCGGGCCCTGCAACGAGGCCTCTCTGCGTGGCCTGGACCTCGCAAACAGGCCTTACGACCTATACAATAAAGTACATTATAACATACCTTTGGGGTTAGATCTGAACCCTTGTATAGTGAGCTGAGCCCGCCTGGCCCGGGCGGGCTCGGCTAGCGGCCCGGCGTTGCTCGCGTGGCCCGGGCCCTGCAACGAGGCCTCTCTGCGTGGCCTGGACCTCGCAAACAGGCCTTACGACCTATGTAATAAAGTATGTGGGTACTTCGTGCGTGTGAGTAGTTAAGTGTTGTGTAGGGCAGGGAAACCAAGTGATCAACACAAGATTCTAGTTCCAACTCATTTATTCATAATACCTAACTAAAACATTACAGTTCGGTGTCACGTGTCCGTGCGTGTGTCAATTTGGACATTGAACTTTACAATGCAATTTATTACAAATGTTATTGACACGGTAACCACATTACTCTCCCCCTTTGAAAATTAATTGGCACAATTAAAAATAGAAAAACAATTTAGACAATATAAATACAAATTAAATAAAAAATAAACGAACACGATAAAAAA